GCTCTGCACAAAACATGAACATCAGAACAACTGCTTCAGGCACTTCGTGCGAGTACCATGGCTGCCAGAACTGGGATTTACGAGGATGATAGAGTCAAGACAAGAATCCGAGCACACGGGATGGCTGGGGGCAGTGGTCCTTGGCTTTTTCCGAGCACTTCTGCCAGCCGGTGCGGAGCTTGTCGTAATTCCCTGCGCTTGCGCGGCATTCGTTTCGGACGGTGTGCAGGCCATGGGGCTGGTTCAGGAAGTGCTGTTACAGGCACTTATGACGTACAGCTCGTTCTTTTTTCTGCATCCAGTCTTTGCAATACCGTTGTAGTATGAATACTGATGCACAAAAACAATCGTCTGACAAGCTGTCCCAAGCTCAGATGGCTGAGAATATGGTTCCTCAATCTCAGCTTCAATGAACTTTCTACAGACTCCCTCAGTAGTAGTCTGGCGACTTCTGGACAATTGAGCAACCCCTTCAAGCCCGAGCCCGAATTCGGCGGCCCGCTGCACCTGCCAATATCCGCTGTGAGGTTTCTGCTCGAGTTTCCGTGCCTCGTGCAGAAGCATGATTCAGAAGCATGACTGCAGATCAGGGCTTGCTCTAGGTAAAGCCTAAGAGCACATGCTACGAGCTACCATCATCAGGGCTGTTCAAAGCGTGCAGGTGATACTATTCTTCAAGGGCCTTCCGAGAATCATAACTGGCCGTCCAGCTGACTCGCTCGAATTCGTCGGATTCCAAGGTAGAAACACTATGTCGGGCTGTAAAAAACACCGATGCAAGCCTGAACTCCAGACGTGTCTAGGTTCACGGGGTGATTTTCGAATGGACACGCGCGTGAACAAGCGTGCCAAGATAGGCGAGCCATTGGTCCTTAACATGAAGTGGAAACCCGTTGTTGCTCCCTAGACCCTAGACCTAAACGCCGAAACCCTAAAGACCTACACCCTAAACCATCCATCTCGAAGAACTCTGCTTGAAGCCTGAACTGGCGCAGCCGGCTTTCTCCCCTCCGGTTTAAGCTCGTGTGTTTTAACGACTCAGTCTTCAGGGTTTCAGGCTCAAGGTGTAGAGTCTTCTTGTAGGTCATACTGGCCGATGCAACCGGGCTCTTGTGACAACCGTCAGACAAACAACCAAAAGCCTCAGAGAAGGAGCACAAGAAGTAGATCCAGCACTTCAGTTACGCAAAACCCATCGAACGATCTGAACCTCCGCGGGGTTGAGGCTTTAGGATGTTGGACCGCCTTGTGTAGGTTTTGGCCTCGAGTGTGAGGGCGGATGCCACAAACGGGACATACATACATACGTACATACACACACACACACACACCTACATACCTACCTACCTGCCTGCCTGCCTGCCTGCCTGCCTGGCTACGGCTACTTACCTCCCTACTTCAGTTTGCACATATCGCCCATTGAATGTAAGTGTTTGGGTAGCAGGTAAGCTGATGCGAATAGTGAGATAGTGATATACAAAATATCTGCTCTCATGCAAGTGTGTAGCTAAGCATCTCTCTCGCTGGCTATGGTATGCTACGTCGCGGCACATTAATTACACCCGAAAGCTATGTGGTTACCATATGGTCATAATGGGAAAATACGCACCAGCAGCACCCAAGGCCTGTGATCCTGAAGGGACTGGCCCCCACCTTGATCGTTCAAGGGCTTGAGACTGCTTTTGCAGGCGTAGGCCGCAGGGATTGCTCGGCCTTCAGTCTGTGACGTGCTCCTGATCATGCCCTGCCCACAGTATCGAAACCTGGTTTATGGGGTTTTGGGAAAGGCAGCGATGAAATGTGCAAGGTGCATGCGCCTGAACGGCCCTCTATAGACCCTAAAGCCCTGAAGGGCTGGGCCGGTTCATAGAGTAGGAGGATGCAAGAGTGCTCAGTTCCGCATGAAAGACACCAACCCACTGCTTCGTGAAGTGCAGGCCGCTGAAGTATGAACACTGCGTCGCTAGGAGCTTTGACCTCAGAATGTCTTTCAATCAGAACCGACTTCATTATTGCTGTTCTTCTTGAACTACTTCCCTTACTATTAATGTCTTTACTACTATTCTTCTTCGTCTTACTATCATCAGCAGTCGCTTTACGGTTTTTTGAGGCTCCTTGGCCTTGGCCTCACCAGGATCCAGGCCAGGAGCACATAGAGGACCACACCAAGCGACCAAATGTCAGCGCCTGGGAAGCTGCAGAATGAAAAGTCTAGGGGCGCAGCTGTTTAGGGTTTAGGGATTAGGGTTTAGGTCTTAGGGTTTTAGGTGTTTGGGGGTTTTAGGCCCGCCGCCGCGCGGCAAATCAGGTAAGTGACGGGTCAGTGGGCTAAAATCCGCAACTGCCTCCATGTGTCCCCATCCCGGGCCTTCCGTCCCCCAAACCACAGGCAGTACTCGCAGATGGATCCAAGGCACGCTTGGAATCCGGATGTTGCGAACCAGAAGAGCACAAAGGCCGCTGGAAACCCGCAGAAAGCCGAAAAGGTCCTGTGATCGGAAAACCTGATGGAGGAAGCTATTTCACGTTTCGCGCCTGCAGATTACGCCTACCAAAGGGATTCATCGGTGCCTAAGGCCAAGGCAGGTGTCTGCACCCCGACGGGCGTAGATCTCGGGCGCTGTGTAGGACAAGGTGCCTGAGGCCGTCTCAGGCAGCAAAACCTTTGTTGTCGTCGTCGTGGTCGCGGTCGCTGTTGCCGTTGTGGTTTTTGTTGGGTTTGTTGTTTTTGCGTTTCGTTTTTGTTGTTGTGGTTTTGGTTGTGGTTGGTTGTGAGTTGAGAGTTGTGGGTTGTGGTTGTGGTTGCTATTGTCAGTGCTGTTGTTGTTGTTGCTGTTGTTGTTGTTGTTGCTGTTGCTGTTGCTGTCGTCGTCATCATCGTCGTCGTCGTCGTTTGTCGTTGTTGTGGTTGTTGTTGTTGTTGTGGTCGTCGTCGTCGTCGTCGTTGTTCGTGTTCTTCCTGGTGGACATGTCCTCGCGTTCACAGTTCACAGGTGGGTGGAAGCAATCAGCTGAGCTTGCCGCCTATCCTCCCCATTGCACGCGGCCTCTTGCTGCATGGCTGGTACAACTACACGCACTCCGCGTGCATGTGCAGAGAGAGCTGCCTAAACCCAGTGCTTCAGAGCACGGTGCGTGGAGCCTTCGGGGAGCTGCTTCCAGGGTGCTTCTCGCACATGTCTGCTTGGGGCTCTGCTGTGCCTTCATTCTACCATTTCCACCTGCCACAAACTATCAAGGAGTTACCTACCCAAGAACTCTGCACCCCTTTTCTGTGACCATCTGAAGGACATCAGGCGCGCAGCCCCGAATCGCACTGGAAGGGCTCTCAGTTGCAGGCATCTGTGGGCTCAGCTGCACTGCCGTGCCGAAATCACAGAGCTTGATGACACTTCCTCAGACAGCGACTTTTGATCTTCGCAGAGTAGCTGTGTAAGGTCATGTCTCTCACGAACACACATTAGATGTGACAGCTTCAAACCCTACTTGATACTGAGCGGAAATCAGGAATCTCTGGCCAGTCACTCTCTAGCCTCTGCAGCAAGGAATCATGAGTCCCAACGGGCTATCTGTGGCGAGTGGGACGTGGGTGCTAAACCAATGGCAGATGGAAGCTGCACGCTTGTCGAGAAGATGCCTCATGAGGTTGACGATACAACCATCGTAATTCTCATGACGGTAGTATTACGTATAATGAAGATATAAGTCTTCTTATACTTGCTATCATGATAAGCATGCTCATTCTTGATACTATCGGTCTTGTTATACGATTATCATCATCACCTTTATTGTCATTGTAATAATTGGTCGCTTATCATGGACGTCATTACTAACATTGCTATTCTTAATCCTTCAGATGTACCCCTCCGTCTAGGCAGTCGTATTCTTGGCTCCCCGCCTTCCGGAGTTCCGGGGTTTCCCAGCAGCAAGAAGTTTTCAGTCCTTGGGGGCAGGCCATTCTTGCAGAGAAACTATAGCACTAAAAGCCCTAAACCCTGAGTCGCTGAAGCCGAAGCCAAGAAAGCCTAAACCCCTAATTCCCGTCCTCTAAAGCCTATAAACCATAAGGGATCTGGCCAGGATTTAGGGACAGGATCGCGGGTCTGTACCGAGAGCACGGCTTGATGTCGCGGTGCACTATCCTTGCCTTGTGAAGGAATGCAACCTCAAGCGGTTCAGGATTTAGGGCTTTAGGCCTTTTAGGGTTTAGGGTTAAGGGGTCTAGGGTTTCAGTGGTGTGGGGTTCTAGGGTTTAGGGTTTACTGTAAGTAATGAGGTATAGGAAGTGCACACACCACCGAAGCACGCAGGTTTCTGTTCCCACTGAGAGGCAACTTCTAGTTGCCAAGGCCCGCACAGCGTACAACATCTGCCGAAAATACGTCCTTGCTTCTGTCCTTGCCACGCGTTCTAACATCACGAATTTGCAGATTCCACTGATTCTCTTCTGTGTCTGTGCATCCTGTTTTTACATTTCTACACACATACACAGATGTAATTATGTATGTTTACGTTATATGATATACAGCTACCTGTGCTATACGGATAGATAGATTTGCTCTGCCATGCGATGCCAACTCTCTTTGGGGTGCCCGCTCTTCGAACGCGCCGCCTTCGGCTCGCCTCTGCTGAGCCTGAGACATTTCTAGATATGGATATAGATATTTATTTATCCATTTATTTATCCATTTATTATATATATATATGTACACATACACTGTACATTGGGGTCTAGAGTTTAGGGTTTATGATAGGAGGATATAGGAGGCGAAATTGGGACAGGTTTTTGAGGGTATGCTGCTACAACTGTAACAGGGAACGCTGCGGAATCATATTAGTCAGATGAAGCCCTGCCGAAGACTTTGAGGAACCTCAAAAGCAGCAATTCAACCGGTAACTGACTTGATGCTAACCAAATGTAACGTAACATAGTACAAGTTTAGCATAACATGATACAGTATAGTATGGCATTAGCTCGCAGCTTCTGCCAGGTGCCCGGCTGCAGCGGCGATGTACTCGTAGAGCTCCCCACCACGGCAAAGTTCAAGCCTGAAGCTTGTACATTTATACATATATATATGTATATAGATACAGATGTAGATATAGATATTAATATAGATATAAGGTCCCAAGACCTGTCGAGGTTAAAGGCTGGCAGGTCGCCCTTGGGGCAGCAGGCCAGGCTGTTCTGTGTGATATTCTAAGCCTGCAGAAGTCGGCTGCAGAATGTGCAACAAGAGCCCTCAGCCCCAGGCACCACCCAAAGCGAATGACGCTCCTCGAAGCACTCGTACATCTTCACGATGTGCGGGTGCTCTGACCTGCTCCAGTCAACAATGTTTCTGAGTTTTCTTGTCGGGCAGCCAGAAATGTTCCGCTCAAACCTTCTCTTCTCTGACCACACACCTCCATGCCACGGACTTTGCTGGTGTACTGAAGTCGGCTATCTAGCGGAACAGATGAAGACTGCGCGCTGAACTTGCAAAGCCTCTCCCTGCACCATCGCACAACCTGAACGTCGAAAATTGAGACAGCAAGGCCTTGCGAGAATAGCTCTCTCCTTCTCGAAGCTTTCGCGCATGGCCTTGGCACTCATGCCTGGCAAACGGGCGAGCTGCTTGATGATTCGAACACCCGTGGTGGTGATAGCATCTTAGTCGTAGGTAGCAGGGGAAGTAGTTAGTAGTTAGTGGTTAGTGTTTCGGGGTCAGTAGTTAGTGGTTAGTAGTTGGTAGTTAATGGTTAGTAGTTGGAAAATTCGTAGTTAGTAGCTATAGTTAGTAGTTAGTAGTTAATAGTTAGTAGTCAGGAGTCAATAGGTTGTAGTCAGTAGTTAATAGTAGGTAGTAGGTAGTAGTACTTGTAGTAGGTTATTGGTATTATGATTTTTATTAGCACGAGTTTTTCCCTGTAGTAGTCGTGGTGGTGGTGGTGGTGGTGGTGGTGGTGGTCACGGCAGCAGTGGCTGTAAGAGATTGCAAGAGTGGCAGTAGGAGTAGTAGTAGCAGCAGAAGCAGCAGTCGTCGCCGCGGTTCGGTGTAAGATTGGTGTTGATCGTAGTATCTTCAGGCTCGTCTTCGTTCTGGCAGAGTCATCGTCGTCGTCGTAGTAGTATTGTGAACATGGTCATTGATGGAGCTCAGAAAGACACCTGTCTGTACAGGTGGCAAAGGACTTCGCCACCGTAGCATCTCAACAAGAATGATCAACTCCAGAAGGCCTGAATCGTCGCCGAACCATGTAATCCTAGTCCTGCTGTGCCCCTTCCCTGCCCTATTTGGGCTCACCAGATGGATCGCGCGAGTTGGCCTGCGCAAAATCGGACGGCTTTGAGCTGGGGTCGAGCTTTGTTTGCATCTGGTGATGCTGCTGAGAGCATTAGCAAGTCGTGGGTGCGTGAAGAGCCGGTCAGTTCAATCCTTGAAAGCTAGCCTCGGCAATCTTGAAGCACTTGACGGCCACTCGCCGGCCATTCGACGGCTGAGAACCTGCAGCACCTAAGTCCGCCAAGCCCGCGATTGGCACAATGCACATTGCAAAGACCATCGCAGCGTCTGCCAGAGACCGGCAAAAGAGCAACAATAGATGGACACCTCCTGGCGGAAGGATCTTGATGGTCTCAGCCTCGAAAACCAGACCATATGTGCCTTCACCAACCTGGGCAGGACAAATGCTGCGCAGGCGCAAGAAGCCGCATCACTTTTTCTTCCTGTTTTGTTGCGGCCCGCACAAAACCTGTTGACTTGTCAACGCCGGCCAATCTTCTTCGCCGGTCTTGTATGTTTGCCTCTGCTGCCCTTCCTAAAGGAAGACATGTCTTCTTGTCTTTAACTACTGATTACTCCTCTGCTAAGGCTGCTGTTGGCTCATGCAGTCTCTGAGCTTCGCAGCCTGGCGGAGGATGTTGTAGTGGTTGGTGAAGCTTGTCTTCAAGTGGGCAGAGAAGACCTCGGCTCATGGTGACGACAAAACTGACACTGACGATAGGGACGATGACGATGCTCATTGCTTGCACAGTCAATCCTGTGGATTGCTGCTGTTACTATCAGGGTGTGTACCTTTGCGCTTTTGAACATCATGACGACGTCTTTCTGACGACCGTGATAGCCATCATGAATGGTCTCTCACAGGTGCGCCCGCATGCCCTCACTTACAGCTACAGCTCTCATGATTATGGTTACCGACTGTCACGCCTTTACTGCTTTGTCGCGAAAGCGAGTCTTCGAAGACTCAGCTGCAGATTTGGCTTACCAGAAGATAGAATACTCGGGGCACGTGAAGGCAAGAAAGCCTATCCTTAGTGAAATATGACTCACGTGACATCGGCGGCAAGCCCACCCGCCCCGCACCCATTTCGCCTGATGTATCACAGCATAGCTGCCCCAGCGGAGTCCCCTCCCGCCCCCCTTGAAATCCTCCCCTCAAATAAAGGTTCTCGTTGTGCATTGCGCTCGGGTAGGCTTCACGTCGGCTAGTTGCTGTAGTGCGCGCGGGTTGGCCGGCTATTTACCGGAACTTTCCAGCTCCTATCCTCTGTGCGCCCTGGACGGTGGCTGGCGAGCTGTCGTCCGGCCTTCCTAATTCCAGTATGCAGTGGAGCAGAATGCTTCGTCAGTGTTTCAACATCCTCACCCGCACATGTGGCACACCACCTCCTCACCCGATACTTCCCGTGGTGCACCATTACCACCTGATCCACTACCACCCCTCCAATGAGAAACTTGGCGCTCCGCTCTGCGACGCGCGAGCGCCCAGGTACCAACGATGCGGCGCCTAGGCTCATCGTTGAAGAGGTTGAATAGCCGTATTTGATTGGTTGAGTTGCGACCATCAAGGACACAAATTGTTACACATATTGGGCTACAAAGATCCTCAACGAGTAAAGGATTCAACTTGCATTGTCAGTTTCGGGCTGACTGCACTGAGCAAGCATAACCTCTGCAAGTTAGGTTCGGAATGGTAGTAGTTGCTGGCAGCGAGTAAAACAAACAAACTTAGTCGTAGTCGTCGCGGTAGTCGTCGTCGTCGCCGTGGTAGTGCCCGGTAGCCATAGGTGGAGCCGGTGGTGGTGGTGGTGGTGGTGGTGGTGGCACGAGCAGCGGAGGAGCACAGTCGCAGCAGCAGTGGCAGAGGAGGTTGTGGTAGTAGCAGTATCAGTAGCAGTAGTAGTGGCAGTAGGAGTAGCAGCAGTAGCGGTAGCGGTAGCAGTGGCAGTAGCAGCAGCAGCTGTAGTAGCACAGTAGCAGCAGCAGCAGTAGTAGCCGTAGTAGTAGTAGTCGTCGTCGTCGTCGTCGTTGTAGTCGTAGTAGCACACTGGCAGCAGCAGCAGGAGGAGGAGGAGGAGTTTATTATTATGTTTATTATTATTAGTATTTGTAGTAGTAGTAGTAGCAGCAGTAGAAGTAGAAGAAGTCGTATAAGTAGTAGTAGGAGCAGTAGTAGCAGAAGCAGTAGTAGCAGTAGGAGTAGTACTAGTAGAAGTAGTAGTAAAGGTAGTAGTAGTAGTAGTAGTAGTAGCAGTAGTGGTGGGAGTAGTAGTGGTGGTGGTAGTAGTAGTAGTAGCAGCAGCAGCGGCTGGCAGTTGTAGTTTTTGGCAATGTTGGTGGTTGAAGTGGGTGGTCATAGTAGTGGCGGTCACGGTAGTATCAATTGCTAAAGGCAACTGGAGCACCAGCGGCTGGAGCCCCAATTGCGAATTGCTAAAGCAGACTCAGCGCCGTACCGCTCTTCCTTGAAGCCAGAACCAGCTTCCAGCTCGACAGCTTCGTTTATCCTGTTGCGCAGGCCCTCTGCTCTAATCTGTGACCTACGACATGGTGATGATAGCGGTGCTGTGGCGATGATGATGGCGATCAGGATGACGATGATAACGACGAGCCATCACCATCAAGAACATCAGGATGACACAGCATGCTGTACCTGGACTAATTTCTGCAGCGTGGGAACAGTCGTCTTCGAATACATGATGTCTGCCCTCCACGGCTTCTTCGGCTGTTCAAACGGCGCCTATTCTCCTTGCTTGAAGCCCGTGCGTTGCAAAACCACATCCAGCTCGCCTCAAACCATCCGTGAGCCCGTCGGCTTCTAGGAAGCTTGCCTGACATTCGTGCGATGCATTTCCAGTGTTGCGGCGCTGTTCCCCACTCTGCAATAGCAAAGGTCCAGAAATCCCCGCTGCCTCCTGGCCGCTGTGCACACAGCCGCATTGGCCCCATCCAAGCCTCAGAAGGGTACGAGACTCAAATGAGCCCCTCTTATTCCACTCTGGCAGTAACGTCGTATTCTCTGCACTTTCTCGGCCCTGCGCTGCTTCGGCGAAGCTTGGCCCATTTTTCTGCAGAAAAGTGGCCTTGCGGAATGCGGAAAATTGGAAGCATCCTCAATGAGATAAGAGGTGTCAAGAGAGCATGCTCTGCCTCAAGACATGTCCGTAAATTTAACGGGCGCTGTCGCTGCCAGCGTCTGCGGATCCATGCGTCTTGGCGACGAATTTCGATTTCGGCGGATGCTTCTACGGCCGGTCTTCGTGTGGAGAGAAGCTTTGCTAAGGTGGGAGGGGATCGGTTGGAGTTCGACACTGACATGACATGAAGCTGACGCTCGAGCTGCTTTGCCAATATTTTTGATCCGAAACGGTACGGGCACGGCCCGGTTGCTCAAAGCTGAAAGGACGGAACATGCCTTCCTCGAATCTCCATTGAGCTGTTTGATCATGCTTCTCAACATTCCAAGGGCTTACAAGCGCACAGCACGGGGCGAACACGACACTGCCGTGCTAGGCTTGGCGTTGTTCTCAAACCATCTCGACGCGAGGATGGCAGAAATCACTTTCTGCGCCCAGTCTGCAACTACAGTACTCTCTTGAACGACATCAGTGGCAAAGCTAGTGCCCTACAAAAGCTGCCTTGATCGCCAAAGTAGTGGCCAACAGCTTCAGGAAGTAATTACGATGCTCTCGTCCTCTGCAAGCATGTCTATTGTGGAATACATGGTGGTTGTCTGTGTTTGGCGAAGTTTTGCCACGGGCAAATTGCTACATTATCTGTCAGTAGCACAACGTTTCCAGCTTCCAAAGATTTGCAGCTGCGACTTGTTTTTCAACTCCAGCCAAGCAAATGGGATCCCTGTGTTCGGGTTCACATGGTTGCGTGGTGTTCATCGTCCGTCTTGCCTCTTCTTGAGGCTACGGATATCAAATCGTTAACTCGAAACCCACGTCAAGGAAGGTCTTGCTCGTACTACCGATCCCGTTGCGCACATAGAAGTATGAGCACTAGCAGTGGAGTAGCAGCAGTAGTAGTAGTAGTAGTAGTAGTAGCAGCAGTAGCAGTAGCAGTAGCAGCAGTAGCAGTAGCAGCAGCAGCAGTAGTATTTAGTAGTATCTGCGTTGGTTTGGACTTTGCCCACTGGCTCAGACAGTCGTCTGGCGTGTCAGTGTAACCTGGCAGACTCCGCAGGTTCTTAAGCTGTGCAACACCCCCGCTTTCGACGAGCATTGCCTGACCCGGCTCTTCACGGATCTCTGCTTTTCTCCTCTGACCTTTTCTGCACTGAGCCCGCGACCGCAGCGAAGGTCGACGAACCTGAACCTGCGGCACGGAGTTACGTTGCCCGAGGTCAGCGATGAGCTTGCTCTGCTCCTGGTGCAAGTCAAGCTCAGCAGCTGTGCCGCGAGTAGCATGGCCACCGTATCACCGCTTCAGGGCATCGCGGTACTGTGCTGCTACACAGTCGGGTAAATGCGAAGCGATTATGCAACTCCGTGGATCCTTGATTCGGCAGGCATTCTTGTCCAGCAGCATCTGCCTGGCAGCGTCGGACTCCGGCTCCACATTTTCAACAGACTGCTTGCTGATGTTCTGAATGTGAGATATGACTCCAAAGCAAAGGACAACACTCGGCCGGCGCGCATGAGGATCAAGAATTCTGGGAAATCCACAGCGATTCCTCAGTAGTGATGGTGGGTTTGTTGATGCCTGGCTCCTAAAACTCATAGGCAAAGCTGACTGAGATCGCTGCGCGGCCTGTTGAGCGGCATGCTTTCCTTGCACAAGAAAGTGGAGGAAAGAAAGCAACACATCGCCATTGCATTGTACAGCCTTGTGAACATCTGAAGCATCCAAGTCTCATATCGCTGGTTTTTGGGACTCAGCGGTGCCACGACCTCTGCAGTCTGGCTTCGGGAGAGCTTGATGTTTGTGGCAGTTGTAGATGCAACGTCTACGACAGTCGGGGTTCCGTGTCTGCAAGCCTTCTAGACTCTAGACAGTCCAACAGGATGCGACAATCCAACACCTCCTTTGGTTCGGCCTTCTCCCTGTACTCTTCATGCATGTGGGCATCAATGTCGAAGAAGAGGCGAGTCCTCGGCAATACAGGCGGCTGTTGACTATCGTCGCGGATGGATTCGGCTTGCAACCGAGCGCGGTCGAATTAAAGGGGATTCAGCAGCATGCGGCTGCAATCTGAGCAGCCCGCAATTCGTCCAGATTCGCTTTGCCAAGTCCGACCACCGGCCCGACCATCTCCAAATACTGCAGGTGTGGGAGAAATGAGCAAATATGAATCGCTATACTATCACTCATGCTGCCACCACTACTACTACTGCTACTGCTGCTGCTGCTCCTGCTCCTGCTGCTACTACGACGACGACGGCTACTTGGGGATTCGGGAACTGCTATCTGATTTATGCCGCTTGGCCACTTGCTCCACTTGAACCTCCCGAGATATTGCGTTCACGTTGTACTCAACTGGCCGCGCTTGCGCGACTTGACCGTCGTTTTACCCACTTGTGCCACTTTCCGTGAAGCCTTCGAAGTAAAAGAGTGGTACTACTACTACTACTACTACTCCTCCTGCTACTACTACTACTACTACTACTACTCCTCCTGCTAGTACTACTACTGCTACTCCTCCTGCTGCTACTACTACTACTACTACTCCTCCTGCTACTACTACTACTA